ATTAAAAGTATTTTCTGTGCCAGTTTTTTAATCTTCTTGAGGGCAGTACATGCTTGTTTGTCCCCGTCCCATAAATCACTATTTCTGCAGTGAAAAGACGTCTATTCAGGACCAAACAATAATATGGCATAATAAATAATTGCACATAAAGTACTGTTTTCCTGCTTTCTGTAGAGCCTGTAACTGTAATGAGACACTGTTCCCAGGGTACACTGTCAGAACTGTCCTAGTGCAACATAGGAAAGTCCTCACAGTTGTTTTACTGGGTAACAGTTTTTGATTAAGACCCTGTAGTTCTGTATTAATGAAATTAAAGCAAGCTCTCTCCCCCTCTTTGTGCCTCAGCCCTGTTAACTTAGTATGGTCCTATTTGTTCTATTTATTTTTAGTGTTTATTTTGTGCTGCCCTAACCTCTGGGCTTTCAACATGCCACAGAGGTTTTTATTGGCAGTGAGTAACTGCTCTGTAGAATGGAGAGGCTGGAAATAGTTGGGTGGTGTACTCTTGATTTGAGATCAAGACAGTATTCCTAAAGTTTAGTTCTGATGGTAGTTGATGCCAGAAGCTTCTGGACAAAGTTGCAGTGAAACCAAATGTTTGGTAGCAAGTGTAATAACCTACTTTGAGGGAAAATGTGTTAAATTCTGAATCTTAAGTTTTTGGTGCTTGGCACCAAGCAGGCTTTTTGTCCTGGAGAGGAGATGCATTTAATTTTGACCTCCTCTTTTAGATGAGGATGAAAAGTAGTCTGGAATTAATGGAATTGATTTTTCTTGTGTATTTTTTTTCTCCTTTTGCTGTTTCTCTATTACCTATCTACCTCAATGGACTAACTTAACTAAAATATTAGTAGCAGTGCAGTAAATATGATCCCCAGTGAAATGCTTTAATGTCATCATTTAAACAACTCTGGTGTTGCTTCACTGCGATGAATGGTGAAATTGGGCACATCTGAAGTAATGCTCTCAGGATTGCATTACAGCCATCCCGGCCATCCTGACCTTTTTGTAACAACTTCTGAAGCTTGCATGTCCTATTAAACATATGGCTCCTTTTATAGATGGTCCCTGCACACTGAAGCTGATATAGGTGTGCTTTCAAAGTCTTTAAAATTGATAACGAAAGTGGAAAGAAAAGTATAATTTTATCCCTGAAAAGGCATTCATAGCAACTTACAACTAGTTAAAGGCCACCATCAATTGTATTTGGCAAACTGTTTTTGAAGAAACTAGTTTGTATTCACTCTACAAGCCTGTACAAATGATGTGATGCATCTGATACCTTTTTTTGGTAACTGTTGTGTACTGAGATTTTTGGTAAAGGTGGTGTTTTTAACTGCGTACTTATAGATAGTACAGTACTTTTGACTCCCATTTCATAAAAATCATGTATGTGCATTTAAAATGCCTGTAGAGGAGACGGGGGGAGAGAGAGAATACTGTGCATATTACAAGGCACTTTCCAGTCAGCTAAGACAGATGTGGAAACAGACCTGATTACAATTGAAGTCCTGTCCAAACAACTCTGTTGTTCTGTTGTCACTTGTTGAAGTACAAAAGCACTTCTGTAGACATTTCAGGGAGTGTCCTAAATGCTGCCTGGTGTAGGAGATGAAAGTGTGTTTGAATCAGTGTTTACAGTATCTGCTACATTTACCCTAGATACATTTTGTTTGTTCGTTTGTTTAATTCCCTTTTTTATATCTTATTACAGCTGCCAGGTACTGCAGCATGTTAATTGAAGAAGGTGGTTTACAGCACTTGTACAACATTAAGGAAAATGTCCAGACTGATCCACACGTCCAAAGGATTGCTATTGCCATCCTAGATAGTTTGGAAAAACATATTATGCGTCATGGGAGACCACCTCCATGTAGAAAACAGCAACAAAATAAACCAAACTGAAAGCTTTAGGTATAAGAATGTAAAATACTGTCTCTGTAATAATCCTTTCTGATGTGTGTGTAGTTGGAGTAACTTGTAATATAGTGGTCACCATTAAAGTGATTTGCCGATAATTGTGGTACCCAGAACCATGTACGGTAACCTTTGGTGAATGTCAACTTTAATGGCAACCGCATATGCAACTTGTAAAGGGTCACTGCTTGAGCTGGTCATACCTGTAGGATTACTGCTGGCTACAGAGAGGTGGACTTGTACAGATCAATATGCACATCTGAAAAAAAGACTTCTGGGAATACCTTGTTTTGTGATTTCTGGGACAGAAAGTTATTTCATACCTATGATTGCTGTTCATGACACTGTTTACCAGTTTGGTGTTTGAATAGAACTGTGTGTGGTTGTGAGATTCAGCACTTTTACAAATTAAAACAAAAGTTACATGCATGCAGGTTACAATGAGACTTGTAACTAAGGCGACCAAAATGTCCATTGTCTCATAGCCCTTCTAAACACAAATAGGGTCTTCAGGTTCCTTTTCCTTTTGCCTGCAAGCTGTGTTCTTTTGTTTTCCTTACTGCTAGAACAATGCCTTTTCACAGTTCAGCTCTCCCGAGTCCTCCCTGCACTCAGTAAGGTGGGGATCAGCATTGTGTCAGGGAAAGGGGAAACCTGCTAAAGTAAAGCAATAGAAACAGGATTAAAAGGAGACACAATACTAAAATATGAACTAAGCTTGAGATTTTAAACTTGGTAACAAAAAGGGGGTTTTGTTGTTGTGTGACTACTTTTGGTTGTGTGTGATATCTTTCTCTTGTTTTTAGAATATTGATAGAGAAAGGAGAAGGCTCGTTAGGGCAAAATACTGATTTGTCTTCATCATGAAGGGGATTGCATGTCTCAGTAGGAGGCCCAGGATATTTGGTCACCTTATTTATAAGAGACTAATGATTGCTCTGTTGTTTTCTGTAAATATTCTGTCGGTATTGTGCAGTGAATTATATTTCCAAATCATCACAGTGCAAAATATCACCCAATGTTCTGTGTAAGCCCTGTGTCGATTGCATTGTTTTGTGGAGTGTGAAATTTTACATAAAGATGCTAACTGTAACAACTTCTTTCTTTCTTGGTTACCTGTGGGTTTCAAATGATGTGTTGAATGAAACATATTGCACAGCTTACAGATGCCTGATAAAATACAAGTGATGGAAGCAAACTGCATGTCCACTCATTCTGTTTAATTTCAGGTATTGTTTTTGTTTATCTGGTCAGTTTCCACATTTCCATGGCAACTGATTGATATTCAGAGACTCTTCTGTAAATATATTGGTAATTGAGTTTATAAAGAAAACTTACGTTTGGTAGCTTACTAGCAGGGATGGCTTCTTCACAATTACCATATTTTACTATTTTTAACTCCTTCCCTCTCCCAACTCCCATCCTTCAAATAAAAACATCACCTCTACTATTCAGTAATCTAGTTACTGTGTATTTCAGCAACTTCAAAAGGTACTGATCCAGTAATTTAATCAATGTTGTAAATTGCTTTTTGTACGAAGGTATCATTTGGCTACTATCATTTTCATGTGTGTATCTGGTTATATACCGTTTTCTTGATTCGGAAAGAAATTAAATTGGTTGTAGCTTTGAATTATGAAGGTGGTTTAAAAAATGGCCTGCCAGGCCACCACCCGTCTGAGATGTCTGCTATGGGACTTCTGCTGTGAAATTTCTGTTACGTGAGATGGGACACAAAACTTTGTCACAATTGGTGTTAATAGAATGAATATAAATCAATTACTACAAGATTTTAAAATAAAGATGACATCTGTCCTTACAGTACTGGTTTTTCCTAATAACAGGGGCACTTGCTGAAGCATCTTAAGTAAAAGTGGGGGAAAAAAAGAAAAAAATTCACTACACGCAGCACAAAATGAACATCAGTCCTGATGGTGAAGGCATCACTTCATGAAGCTCTGCAACCAGCAAGCACAGAGACTGTACATAATTTTCCGTACCCTTCTTATTTTGTTCCCACATGCAGGCAAACAAACAGTGAGCAGAATTCTTTTAAGGGGGAAAGTAGGAATTCCTACAAGGTATAAATCCACTAAATTTACTTGCATGTGCCAGTTACAGAAAGGTCTTTTCACATTCCTGTGCAGCTCCAAGTCGTCTTGCCAGGGTAGAATAATTCCGGAAGCAACTTTGACTCTTGTATTTCACCTGTGGTATTTGCCATCTTTTTTTTTGTGAAGGCTGAAGACCATGACTCTGCTTTACCTTTGCAGATCCTTTCATAGGAAACTTGTACGTATATAATCTGGAAAGGTTAGCTCACCTATGGAATTGTTGGGTTAACTTCTGGCACAAGTGAAATTGTGGTTTGCTTTGAGACTATCATAGCATGAAATGACACCCAGTTCCAATGTGGTAAGCCAGATCTTGCAAGTATGTTTTGGTAACCTATGTTTACTAAAAATACATTTCTCTAACAATGCTAATTCACTTTTGCTTGAAAGTCCTAGTCTAGGGAAGTAAGAAGCTGTGATGCTAAATTGTGTGGCGCATCTCAGTGCTGGAGAACCTCTAAGCAGAGGGAGAACAAAACTTCAACTTCCAGTCAGGCAACAGAGGAAAAACAGGTGATGGGAGAGAGGGGACATGCCTGAGATGTCTGGTATAGACTGATGTGGTGGCCACACATACATGCACATCTAGGCCTTGTCTTTTCTCAAGCACTGATACCAAAGAGCTGTAAGTTCAGTTGACTGGAGTGACAGCTCCATGTTTTGCACTATTCACAACAGATCTGGGGTGAAACACCATTGCTCTGTGTTAATAGTGCTTGTTTGCCTGATTAGGTGGAAGAGCACTGATAATGGGACACAGGCATAGGAAGATTTTCTTCTTTGTAAGTTAACTTGTTTGTTTTTTTTTTTTTTTTTCTCTTTCATACCAATGTTTAGATGCAGCTTGTGTTTGGGTTTGGTTTTTGGTTTGGTTTTTTTTTTAATTTGCTTATGGTGAACTTTACTTCTCCACACTTGTTACTTCACATCTGTTTGACAGCTATAACCACTGACTTAAGATGTAAGCACTTTAAAAAGTTAAATCTTTATTTGGGAATTCTTCCAGCAAAATGATCCAGTGGAGTATTCAGAATTATAGTCCAAGGCAAGGAGTGAAGTATACAAAATGCAGTCCTAAAAGTAATCCCAAGAAATCAGTGGGCCCTCTTCCGTCTTCCTTTACCTTCAAAAAAATCAAGGGGAAGCCAGGAAGCATTATTTGCCAATAAACTGAGGTGGTCGTTTCTCCCTGAAGGCAGCCATCCCTTCCTGACGGTCTCTTGTGGGAATATTCTACATTTAAAATAAAAAAAAAAAAAAGGAAAAAAAAATTGTTGTATCTTTCATTGACAAGTCTGATGCATTTTTAAGTACTGACTAGTTAGTAGTGGTCCAACACTAAGATTGCTTTTCTTTCAATGATGAAGTCCCGCCTTCTGCATTTTGCAATTAGGAAAATAAAGAGACTGGGTTGTACTATAAATCACAAGCAAAGCATCTAAGACAAAGACCATAGACCACAGAACTGTGCAAGAAAACAATTTTCCGTAAATTGAATATTTTACCATCTTAAAATACAGTGAGAGACACAGCAGTTACATTGTTCCGTTAGCTGAGAAAGGGGCATGCTCTCAAAACATGTCAGAAAGAATGACTACAGGAGGAATCTGGTTTTTAATTTGTTGAACCATTTGTAAAGTCATTCTATAATTAGCATGTTGTTGAAACTAAGAATATACAATTACTTCAGACAGAAGGGTATTTAAAGAAGGACTTTGGTCCCAGGCAGGCTGAGAGAAGCAGCTAGGTATGACACAACAGTTAATATTCCGAAACAAATACCTGGAACTGCACTCAACCGTGTTCTCAAAGCTTTGGATTTAGCTGCTAGTGTTCCTTTATAAAGAGGAGAATATAAGGGGACACTGAATCTTTGGGCTTTCTCTGGAGCCGCCAACATAGGAAAGACATGCACCTGTTGGAGCAGGTCCAGAGGAGGCCATGAAGATGATCCGAGGGCTGGAGCACCTCTCCTATGAGGAGAGGCTGAGAGAGTTGGGGTTGTTCAGCCTGGAGAAGAGAAGGCTCCACAGAGACCTTATTGTGGTCTTCCAGTACCTAAAGGGGGCCTACAGGAAAGCTGGGGAAGGACTTTTTACAAGGGCATGTAGTGATAGGACAAGGGGGAATGGCTTCAAACTGGAAGAAGGTAGATTTAGAATAGATATTAATAAGAAATTTTTCACTCTGAGGCACTGGAACAGGTTGCCTGGAGAAGTTGTGGCTGCCCCATCCCTGGAGGTGTTCAAGGCCAGGCTGGATGGGGCTTTGAGCAACCTGGGCTGGTGGGAGGCGTCCCTGCCCATGGCAGGGGGGTTGGAACTCTGTGATCTTCCAGGTCCCTTCCAACCTAAACCATTCCATGATTCTATGAATATCTGGCTTTAGAAAAATGTACAGTTGTTCCTTTCAGGAATGTATTTTTGAAGGTAACCCTACCTGGGCGTAACACATCCCCTCAATAGCCATCCCTGATGCAATGTCAACCTGGGGAGGAGAGGGAAAGCGTGAGATTTGCCTGAAGTACAGCCCTCAAAACTACTTCAGAGTCCCCAAATCAATAAACATTCACTTGTAGTGAGTGACCTTCACTCCTGTATTAGAACTACAGTGTATTAGAACTACATCTGTGGAAAAAAAAATCCTGCCCTGTTAATTTTGTCTTTACAGAAAATTTTAAAACCCCTGAAATGGTTTTAAATGCCTTGTCTAAACAAGGATTATAACTCATCTGTTATAAATTACTAAAGTAAAAATGTTTAGAAGAGTTGCCAGTCTGCTTCATTTCAGTGAAAATAAAATAATTACCTCCATTCCTCTGTTTATTGCCAGTTTTCCCATTTTCACAGCAAATGGAGCCTTTATTAAAAAAAACAAAACAACAAAACAACACAAACAAGGAAACCAAACTACAATAAACATTTAAAAATAATTAAAGCCACATTGGCTCATAATTGTGTAGTTCTATCATTATCCTAGCTCCAAATGACCTTTTAGTCTACAGAAATTTGCAGTTAAGTTAATAAGTATTTTTAAAAAACAATTTGGTGTTATCTAAAATTAATAGATGTAAACGGTGCAAGGTTTCAATGTGTCCTGCGGGTCTGCATAACCACAACTGGGAAGTAAAACTGTCCTCTGGGTTAAGCAGCTGGATTAACACTCCTTCCCACAGAAACCGCGTTCGCAAAAAAGGATGGAGTTAAGAGACCTAAACATCATGAGTGAAGACTTTAATATTTCATGCAAAGAAATTTCAATTATTTGTTTGCTCTCTCTTAAGGAAAGCAGAAATGCCTTTTTTACACCCACCACATGAGTACTACACTTACCTGAGGAAGGATTTCTTTAGCCAAAGTTAATGCTCTCTGGTACGCTGCATCTCCGTCACTGTTCTGTGGCACTGCGTGATTTACTAATCCCATTGAGAAGGCTTGTTGTCCGTCAACCTGTCTCCCAGTGAAAATGAGTTCTTTTGCAAGACCTATTCCAACACATCTGGGCAGGCGCTGGGTTCCACCTTATGACAACAGCAAAACCACCGTTTTCCATTTGAGAAATGCGCAAAACCCAGTAATATTTTGTTTCCGTATATAGCAAGGAGGTTTGAAAAAAAAATGATAAAAAGATCACATGTTTCTTTAATGACTACTAGCTGAGTATGTCAACACTTTGTGAGGCATCTGAAAGGCTTCAGCATCCTTTTCATTATTTTGATAAACAGGAAAAGGTATAAATGGACTTTCCTACACACATAGCAAGTCCAAGATGGGGCTTGGAACAGAAGTCTTGACTCAGATCTCTTGGGTCACTGTAAGATGCTACTTCTAATTTACATTCAAAACATTTAAAATGCTCTAATGGCAAAATACTTCCCATACACCTGAGGAAATAAGCGACTGACGATTTAATGAAGGTTACCTGCTCCAGGAAGAAGCCCTCTTGTGGTCTCAATAAGGCCCATTTTAGCTGATGAAGCTATTAAACAAAAAAAGCATTTATTTACTTTTTGATTTGTATAACTACAAATTTTCCCTACTGAACTGATTAATAAAAACATAAACTGTCAATACTGAACTGGAACTCCATTTCTCTGGGTAGCTAGCTAGAAAGTTTGAATACTGCACTGCTTAATCAATGTCCATCTCAAGTCAGATGAGGCGTGTGTAGTATGGCTGCTTACCCCTAATGTAGCAATTTTATCCAGAAAAAATGAACCTTGGGTCCATACTAGATGAAATGGAATGGATGGAAGGATGGAAACTGAAGAATGAAGTCTTCAAGTCCAAACTGATTTAAGTAGGGAAGGTTAAATCTAGCCAGAGTGCTGATTCAACATTACATCATAATAAGTATTTAATACTACCAATAGTTTTCTGAAGAAATCCTGATCTTGTCTAAAAATAGGCTTTACTTTTTAAGCACAGAAACTGCTTTCCCAATAGTAACTAAATGTCACAATTTCGGGACAAACGCCTACTCATTTCCTGAACTAAGTTCCTCTCTTAGCCTACTGGATTACATTAACAGTCAGCTATCATGCGTCTAAGTTCTCTTTAAAATATAGTCACCAATTACAAGAAGAATCCTACATTAGGCAACACACAAACCTGCTACTCGAAGGTCACAAGCTAACGCCAGTTCCAGTCCACCACCCAACGCGTAGCCATCTATTGCGGCAATGGTGGGTACAGGCAGGGCGGCTAGAGGAGACAATACAGATTATATAGTTTTGTTCCAGAAGTTCTGTTCCACTCACTTCTGAGATTTAAATGCTTAAATTCTAAAGCTTTTAGTAGTTCTCAAATTCAAAATCGCTCAGGAATTCATTTTCTTCTGCCACAAACTTTCTGACTGTCTGTAAACAGTAGAAACTGTCTTTTTGGACTTCTCCCTTCTTTGTAAGAATGCAAAACATTCTTCTTACATGCAAATACAAAGTACCGCAACACAAAACAGGATGAATTGTCTCCTTGCAAATTTATGATGTGAATATCCAGCTGTTGCAGTTCAAACAGTCAAAACAAAGACACCATCTCTAGGCGCCGTTACAAGGATCTGCTTTTCTGGTGCTTCTGTTAGCCAAGGCTCCTGAACTCGGTGAACACTGTTGTCACCTCACAGTTGAGGAACCTGAGGTACCTGGAGATGAGCTGCTTGGTAAGATACCTTTTTAAATACAGCTGCGGCTGCAAGCAGACCTCAGTGTGCTATTCTGTGCTGTAACTACACTCACCCCCCCAACTGCTTCTGTAGTTTGTGAGACAGGGTCATTCTCTCCACACTGCTGTTTGGTTTTTAATTACTGCAATTCTGATTGGTATTTTAGTCAGATTCCACTTTGGTATTCCTCTCTAGCGAGAGCAGAATAATTCATAAATAGGGGAAGAAAATCAATTGCAGAAGCCCATTTTCTTTTCGCAAAAAAAAAAAAAAAAGGGGGCAGGGGAGTTGTAGGCACAAAAACCTTGACATTTAACAAATCCACTTTGCAAATCCATTCAGAGATGCAAATCCATGTTTTCAGGTCATTACCATACCATGAGTGCTTCGGAGCATGTAGTGAAAGTGGGACAACCAACACAGCTCATTTTCTCTAGCACTGTCTCCCAAGGATTCCATATAACTGCATATAGCATGCTTTGTTATGCAAGGTACTTAGTGTGTGTGTGTGTGTGTGTGTGTGCGCACGCGCTGCTCTTCATCATGGAAAAGGCAGTACTGAAATGCCTCTTGTCCTTGGAGCAGCAGGAGGGTAGCTGGTATTTCATTCTAATCAGATCTTTGTTTCAGGCATAAGCTGGAGCCATTTGGGAAGCTATTCCAAAATGGATAACCTGCTGGGGCTAGCACCTTCCCCTCCTGAAGCATTTCTAAATGTCTCAGGCAGTCTAGGACAAATATTCAACCGAGATAATTGTTTACCTATTTCATCCATGAGATTTCTCAGCCTTTTAACAAAGTGTCCAACTTCTGCATCATCCATCTTCGCACGTTCCTTTAAATCTGCACCTAAACAGAGGAGAGAAAGGTTAGAATCCAGGAACGGGGAAAAGACATCTGAACTGTGTTTTCTCCTGTCCCTCTCAGGGGACAGACCATTTCAGAAGTCCTGAAATACAGTGTTCGGGTTAAGTACGGTCAGTGGCAGTTGGAGTGTGGCCATCTGGGCTGGAGCAGTGGCTAGGGTGCTCCTCTGTGCCCTTTGAACAGGTTTCACAGAGGAGCAGAAATCATTGTATGTAAGGACGATAACCCATAAAACTGGAAACCAAGGACTTCAACAGCAGAGGCATCTGTGCTTGAAGATGGTTATAAATGGGAAACAAACAGCAGCACCATGCAGCCTGTGTGGCTCTTCATTAAACACATCTTCATCGCTGAAGCTGAGAGGCAGACAGGTAAAAGAGAAGAAGGTGTTTGTTATTTGCTACATAAAAGCCAACCCGTTTTTGCTTGTAGCAGGCAACTGCTTTTCTGCACGCTTTGATGAGCACACAGCCATAAGAGCCATCAAATTGTTTTAACAATAGTTCGCAGAGCTGTTGTTACCTACCAGCACAAAATACACCTTTCACCTCACTCTTGAACACCACCACGCGAACCTTCTCATCAAAGCGGAGTTGTTCCAGAATGCTGAACAGCTATGAGGGAGGGAGTACAAATAAGAGAAGAAAAACTTTAAGCATATGGATGCATATACTGAAATTATAGCAAGCTCCTAATCTATAACGAAAGTTTCTTTTTTTTCCCCCCACCCCCCTGCGGGTGCCAGGAATTTCCCAAAAATCATATGTGGAGCCAGCAGGATCCTTCCGTGACAGCCTCAGAACGACACGTTTCCCCATCTCTTTTTTTCTTCCATTCAGAGACAAACCTTCGCTGTACCTTAAACTCCCCTTCCTGCCCAGGCGTGTGCCTTCCTGTCCTGTATCAACCTTGAACAAACGATCTGTTAAGGTCTGACAATAAGTATGTTTTTGCTGAAATTATGCAAGTAAGGACATTAACTTGCTTCTGAGCTAGTGAACTTAAATAACTCCAACATCTCTGTCCAGTCCTCATCTGAAGTTACTGCAGTACAGCCATATCCCGATCTCTTTTTCTTC